CCCCCCCCCCCGACTATCAGCTGTTCTGCTATGCCGGGAGATTTAGATTAGCAAGAAAGCAGGAAATTATTGGATTTCTTGCTTTCTAGCTAATCTTCAGATCTTCCTTAGGACTGAAGCTTCTATTTATCAGTGCAGACTCAGGTAGCCAATGGCAGATAGATAGATCTCTGAGTGAATCTGTGATTCTGTGAGCAACTCAATCTGCCTGCCTGCTTTGCCTGATTTTGAGTAAAAGTTGCTCTTTTTTATTAAAAAAAAAATCAATATTTACATAAATATTTATAGTATTTACATACAAGCCATGCCCAGCCAGTCACATGACCACCAAGCCACACCCACAAATTAGGCCATGCCCATAGAACCGGGTGTGTGTATATGTGTGGGTGAGGGAGAGAGGTTAGATCAGATTTCTCTCTCTCTCTCTCCAACCATCGTCAATCAAAATTCATATGAGTGGTCCCCGGGATTTAAAATTATGAGTTTGGTGGTCCCTGAGGTCCAAAAGGTTGGCGACTCCTGCTATAGAATGCAGCCTATTTTGCTTTCCTCTGAAATACTAATCCATTGTAAAATGCCTTAACTTCAGGTTAATATAGCAAAAACTGGAGAATTTGAGGGGAATTCTAACCCTGGTATAGATGGTTTGTCATGCAGCTAGCTGTGTTCTGTTAGCATGTCAAGTTCTGCATGCAGTTGCTCTCTTAGCATGCCAGAGGTATGTTTTGAGGAACTTTTAAAAAGACATAATCAAAACAAGCCTTTTTCCATTTCTTTATGCAGCGTGGACAGAAACAAATATCAGATCCACATCCCACTACCTCCAAAGATCGACCCAACGGTCACCATGATGCAGGTGAAGACATCTCTTTGCTCTTCTTGCTTTCTCGTTAACTTTTCCCATCTCTGTTTTTTCACCTGGAAGATCTGCGGGACTTCTGATTGCCGGACGGACCTTTTGTTTTCTCATGCAGGTGGAGGAAAAACCTGATGTCACCTACAGTGACGTGGGAGGATGCAAAGAGCAGATCGAGAAGCTGAGAGAGGTGGTGGAAACCCCCCTGCTTCACGTGAGGAGAAAACCTTTTCATTCAATCTTAAATTGGACGGAATGTGGAAAACTTGGCTCCAGCCAGCAGAAAGGCATTGTCAGGATTCCGGCACTTGCCCTCATTTAAACCACGAGTCTCGAGCCAAACTTCCAAAAATTCAAAAGGATTTATTGGGAGTTAACATGGCAGCATTGCCTGGGTGCAGCCAACTCCGAGACACATCATTCATTGTCACCTTTGACCCTGGTTTTCCCCCACCCCCTCAGTATATATCCTAATTAATATTCTCCAATGGGACACCTCCATAGCCCAGAGTCACCAACCATGCTTTCCAGTTATATTTTTGTGCAGCAGAAGCTTCAGTCACCTAGTTACTATCTTTGAAAACATTTATGGAATGCAGTTTTGGTTTGCAAGCTGCTGCACTGCTTCCCTCCTCCCTTTCTGCTGGCAACTCTAAAAAAGACCAGAGAAATATTTTAGGAGTTGACAGGCGTAAACTCTGGGGGCTCCTTCTGCAGCTTGTGTAATGGGCATCTTTAGAAGGCCCAGTGGCTTGTTTCTCTCCTAGACAAAACAGGCTCAGGCCTGAAACGGGCCTGTTTCCAGCCTCTGGAGAGCCTCCAGAGGGTTTTCAACCTTCCGGAGGCTCAAGGAAAGCTTCTGGAGCCCGGGGAGAGTGAACATGCCCCCCCCCCCCCAGGCTGTGATGCAGGAGGCCAACTAGGCCACACCCACCATGGCCACGCTCACCCAGCAACCAGGCAGAGAACCCGTTGCTAACTTTTTTGAAGCCCACCCCTGCCTCGTCTTTGCTCCCGTTTATTTGATGGTAGAAGTCGGTGACGGAATCGTGGCTCTTCTAGAGATTTAAGTCCCAATTTTTTGGGTTTTTTTTTTCTTCCCTCTCTCTCCCTCTCCCCCCTCTCCCTCTCCTCTCTTCCCTCTCTCTCCCTCCCCCTCCCTCTCTCTCTTTCTCTCTCCCTCTCCCCGTCTCTCCCTCTCTCTCTGTCTCTTTCTCCCCCTACAATTACAGCCAGAACGATTTGTCAATCTTGGGATCGAACCTCCCAAAGGGGTCCTTCTCTTTGGCCCACCTGGGACAGGCAAAACACTCTGTGCTCGAGCTGTCGCCAACAGGACAGATGCTTGCTTCATCCGAGTGATTGGGTCCGAGCTGGTGCAGAAGTACGTGGGAGAGGTAATGGAGAAAACCTTGCAAGCTGGACTCTGTTGGCTTTTTAACGCTTGGCTACTCAGCATTTCTCAAACCATGCCTGCTTGAAGAGGGGTGGACTTCAACTCCCAGGAATCCCCCAGCTGTTCCCCACGCTGGCTGGGGAATTCTGGGAGTTGAAGTCCACCCCACTTCAAGCAGGTAAGATTGAGAAGCACTAGAGATCATCCAAGTCTTTTCTGTTTGCTCTCTGGTGCAGAATGTTACAGGTTCCCTATTTAGTAGGATGTGATTTTGTGATGGATTTTCCCTCCTCGTCTGCTCTGCTGTACGACTGAATGAGGAGCAGTGCAAGTTCACGACAATGAGCATTTTTGAGCACATATACTCAAAACCGTAATGATTAAGTAAAGCGTACATGAAAATTCCAACAAGTGGAACTGCTTTCCTTCAGAAGTCCCTGGAGGCGTTTAAGAAGAGACTGGATATCCAATTGTCTGAAATGGTGTAAGGTTTCTTGCTTGAGCAGGGGTTGGACTAGACGACCTCTAAGGTCCCTTCCAACTCCAATGATGGTGATCTTCATATTGAATGTTGAAATGTCTGCAACTAATACAGCTTTATGTTTGGAAATGATCTGGATCTCAAGCTATTCTGTTGGTTCAAGTAGAATAACGTGGGATCCATTTTTTGAAATTTTAAGTGGCATAATAGATTTTAAGTGGCATAATAGACTATAGTCTGCGCCCCAGTCTATTATGCCACTTAAAATTTATATATATATATATAAATAAAAATTTTAAGTGGCATAATATATATATTTTCACGTTTTCCTCCTTTCTGGTTTTATAGGGTGCTCGAATGGTTCGGGAGTTGTTTGAAATGGCGAGGACTAAAAAGGCATGCCTCATTTTCTTCGATGAAATTGATGCTATTGGAGGTTGGTGTCATATATTTCTTCAGTCCTTCATCTAACGTTGTGTGGGAGGTGACCAGGCTGAGCTCGAGGGAGGCGTCATAAGTCACGACTCCCTGCATGCCCGCAAGAGCTCTAAGTCCATCCCACCTTGAATGACTCTCTTATGTCCTGCTGTTGTGGTTCGCCAGCAGCAGGTGCAGAGTGAGGACTCAGGTGAGGGGCCTGTGTGTGATGCAGGGATGGGGCCAGGATGATCAGGGAGTGGAATGGAGATTGGAGATTGTGGAGGCTGGCAGCAGTGATGAAGAGGTCCCCGAGGAGCCTGTGCCCAGTGCATGTGTGCGCAAGTCTGGTCGAAGGAAAGAGCAGCTTCAGCAGCACAGGCGACTCGGGAGTAAGGCTGCGAGGCAGTGGCCCCTCCCTTAGGAGATAAAAGCCAGCTGAGAAACGAGTTCTTTGCAGGAAGCAAAGAAGTTTTTGCACTCAAGCCTCGTGGACATTCGGACTCTCTTAGTCTGTGTTTGGAGACTCTTTGTGTTTGAAATACTTCTTGGCAATTTTATCTAGTGTTCTTGGCAGCTTTGCACCACGTTGGCAAGGCTCGTTCTTATCAGAGACAATTAGTTGGAAACAGCCTTTTAACCGGGAAGGAACGGAATTCGTAAAGAATCCTTAAAAGGTTTAAAATTAAAAGTTAAAAAAAGTTTAAAAAGTTTAAAAAATTAAAAGGTTACCTCTGTTTCGTGTTTGTTTCCTTGGAACAAGATTTGGGTCAGAATACCCACTCTTTTTCCCTTAACAGTCTCTTGGCCAAATTCTTGTAGACAACTTAAGCTTGCAATAAATCTTTATGCTCATTTGAACTCCCTGAATCTCCTGGACAAATTGTCTGTGAATCTTCTTTGTTTTTAATAATGTAAATAAAACTCTGCTTCTGTCTATGAAGATTGTCAGTCCTCCAGGCCATGGTTGTCCCAACGGTACTTTTTCAAGAGGCCATTGGACTTTCTAGTTTTTCTTTGAAGATGTTTTACTTCTTATCCAAGGAGCTTCTTCACCTCTGACTCGATGGTGGGAAATGGAAGGATTGATACTCCTTCCAGACAGCTGGTCATTTGCATCCTTTTAGAGAGTCATTGAGGTGACCTTGAGGACACAGATAAACCTCCAAGTGGCCTCAACGACTCTAAAAAGGATGCAAATGACCAGCTGTCTGGAAGGAGTATCAACCCTTAAATTTCCCACCATCCAGTCAGAGCTGAAGAAGCTTCTTGGATGAGAAGCAAAACATCTTCAAAAGAAAACAACAAAAAGAAAGTCCAGTTGCCTCCTGAAAAACACACAACCATAACCTGGGTGAGGGAGAACCTCTATAGGCTTTTAGCTATACAATTTGGGATGAACATCCTTTGAATGGTATGAGTAGGAACAGATTTCCAGAGAAAAGATTGAAGACTACATGAACCATTTGTGCCACTCAGGTGACTCTGAGGACACAGATAAACCTCCAAGTGGCCTCAACAACATCCTCTAAAAAGGATGCAAATGACCAGCTGTCTGCAAGGAGTATAAACCCTTCCATTTCCCCGCCATCCAGTCAGAGCTGAAGAAGCTTCTTGGAGGAGAAGCGAAATGCCTTCAAAAATAAATAAATAAAGTCCAGTTGCCTCTTGAAAAAGCACTTTTGGGAAAACTCTGCTTCCTTTCCCAGAAGCTCTTTTTCGGGATAGTTACCCTTTGGTCTGATCTGCTCTTAGTTCACCTGTAAAAAATAACCAGTACGAGCAATCAGTGTTGATGGGGTGGGATTAAAAACGTCCCTTGATTTTAGTCAACCTCTTCAGTCAGGATACCGTTCTGAAGTGGTTTCTTTTATTTTTAGGCGCTCGCTTTGATGATGGGGCCGGAGGAGACAATGAAGTCCAGCGCACAATGCTGGAACTGATCAACCAACTTGATGGCTTTGATCCGAGAGGGAATATCAAAGTGTTGATGGCAACCAATAGGCCAGACACCCTGGATCCAGCGTTGATGAGGCCTGGAAGATTAGATAGGAAAATAGAATTCAGCCTACCAGATTTGGAGGTTTAGAACGCTTTTATTCTTAAATAATAACAATGGGGGATGAATGTTATGCTGGCACAGCTAGTTCCTCAACATACGACCACAATTGAGCCCAAAGTTTATGTTGTTAAGTGAAGACATTTGTTAAGTTTTGCTCCATTTTACGAACTTTCTTGCCACCTTTGTTAAGTGAACCTCTTAGGTTGTTAAGTTAGTCGCACGGTTGTTAAGTGAATCTGGCTTCCCCATTGACTTTTCTTGTCAGAAGGTCGCAAAAGGGGATCACATGGACCCCCAGGACATGGAAACTGTCATAAATAGGAACCAGTTGGTCATAAATGCGGAAACGGTCAGAAGTTACTTTATTCCGTGCCGTTGTAACTTTAAATGAATTGTTGTAAGTTGAGGACTACCTGTATTACAAATAATTCAAGGCGGTGAACATCTCCAATGCACCCTCGGGCTCCTATTTTCCCCACAATAAACAACTCTGAGGTAATTTGGGCTGAGAGAGAGAAGAGAGCGCGCGACTGGCCCAATGTCACACCTAGTTGGCTTCATGGCTGAGGCACGACTTGAACTCGCAGTCTCCCACTTTCTAGCCTGGTGCTTTGACCAGTAGACCAGACTGGCTCTTGGTCCACATAGATAGCCTATCCGTTCTTTTATCCCCTACGCTCAACCCGCATTTCATCTATTTTCTATTCCTCACTTGCATCCGCATATCTTCTTTTAACAACCCCATAATCCCTTGCGGGGTGGAGTCTGGGAAACTTGAATGGAGCTTGAGTGTTTACTGGCCGGATGCCCTTCCTGTCACCAGTGCGGAGTTTTGTTCAGCCAGATACATTCTCTCCCGGAGAGAAATATCATTCTCTCCCGGAGAGAGAAATATATGCCTCTACCAAGGATCGAACTCACAGCCTCTCCATTGTGAGGCGAGAGTGCCACCTCTAGGCCGTCGCACCACCACTCATCCTCACTTGCACACCATGGCATGCTCTAAACTCATCTATCTTGCCTTCCTTAGGAAGAGCAGGGTAAGCCTTGATTTGAGCCAGGAGGGCCTGTCTTTAAGGGAGCTCAACATTTGCTAAACCCTCTTTGAGTTATTTCATCTGCGCTTATCGTAACGAAAGCCTGGTTCTTTTTCTTTCTTTCTTTAGGGAAGAACTCACATATTCAAAATCCACGCCCGTTCCATGAGCGTTGAAAGAGACATAAGGTTCGAGTTGCTGGCTCGGCTGTGTCCCAATAGCACTGGTATGTTAAAACATAGCATTTCCGCTTCATAGTGCTTTACTGCAGAGATCCCCAATCCCCCCCGGTCTGTGGGACGACACCTGTCCACGTCATGCCAGCAAGCGAAGCCCCATCCACGGGATGTAAGCAGCATGCAAACCCATGCAGCCCCCCCCCTCCGGGCCATGGAAAAACCTTTCTCTGTGGAACCGGTCCTTGGTGCCCCGAAGGTTGGGGGCCGCTGCTTTACCATCCTAAGTGGTTTAGACTTTCCAACAATCTGGGTCCTCATTTTACATACCTGGGAAGAATGGAAGGCTTGAGCCTGTCAGGATCAAACTCCTGACAGGGGCCAGAGTTTGCCTGAAATATTGTATTCTAACCACTGGGCCACGAGGAAGGAGAATGAGAAAGGGAATAGGGGAAGGAAGGGAAGGGAAGGAGCAGCAATAGCATTTGGAGTTATACACCACTTCACAATGCTTTACAGTCCTCCAAGTGGTTTAAAGTCTCAGCATTTTTTCCCCAAACATCTGGGTCCTCATTTTACATACTTGGGAAGAATGGAAGGCTTGAGCCGGTCAGGATTGAACTCCTGGCAGGGGCCAGAGTTTGCCTGAAATACTGCATTCTAACCACTGGGTCATGAGGAAGGAGAAGGAAGGAGGGGAGGGAGGGAAGGGAGGAAGGAAGGAAGGAAGGAAAGAAAGTATCAGCAATAGCACTTGGACTTAAATAAAACTTCACAATGCTTTACAGTCCTCCAAGTGGTTCAGAGCCTCTTGCCCCCAACAATCTGGATCCTCGTTTTATCGAACTCGGAACGGAAGGCTGAGTCAACCTTGAGCCAGTCAGGATCGAACTCCTGACAGTGGGCAGTTTGCCTGTAATACTGCATTTTAACCACTGTGTCACCATGGTTCCTATCGTAGTTTTGTTGGATTGCGCTCCCAATGTGCTTTATGTTTCATGTTTTTTTTATGTTTCATGTTCATTTTTTTATTCCTCCACCACCACCCCAGGTGCTGAAATCCGTAGTGTCTGTACAGAGGCAGGTATGTTTGCTATCCGAGCGAGGCGAAAAATTGCCACCGAGAAGGACTTCCTGGACGCGGTAAACAAAGTCATCAAGTCCTATGCCAAATTCAGCGCTACCCCTCGCTACATGACCTACAACTAAGCTTGGATCTTTCAGATAACCCTCAAGAGTGTTTCTGGGGAGTGTTGTGTTGTAGCTGGACCTAGTAGAAGTAAAAAACAGATGACATTCCAACTTACGTGGTTGTCTTTATTGGAAGTGTAACGATTTAGCTTTATTGTTATATTCAAAATAAAGATTGTGAGCTCCCAACTCCAGACTTTTAATGCTGCTTGTGTAATTTACTTTCTAAATCAAATGTAAATCTCTTTAGGTTTAGGGTCAGGACTACTTTTGAGAACACAACAGTGCCTTAACCCACAGCTTTCTATCTGTATATATAAAAACGAAATACCACTCACGCATCATCACAAAATTTCTAGAAACATAAAGCCTATAAACTTGAAATTTGGCACATATCTTGGCTTCTAGGTGCTCACTAAGAAATGATTTTTTGAAATGACCATCAGAGCATTAGTATTTCCTATGTTATTATTAACATGCTCTGATGCTAAGGAGTTCTGTTCCAAACGCAAAAAACAAGCAGAAGAGTTTCAGTTTCAGTTTTAGTTTCACAGCAGCAATCAACTTTAGTACAGAACAATTGAGCTAAGCCACGCCCAGGCACCTTGCTATCCCCTTGCTCACACATCAAATACTGTTTCAGTTTCCAAATAGCCCTCACTGATAGGACACTAGCCAGATGAATAATGATGGATGCTGGTAGGCAGAGGCACAATTTCCCCCCCTTATTTTCATCCCCCAAAACTAAGCCCAATCACATAGTTTCGTAGCAAAGCATGGGTACAGATCTAGTACAAAAATAAGTGGTACATGAGACAATTTCTTCCAACTGGTTTGAAGACTAGAACTGAGCATTTAATGCTGGATCAATGAAATTTTTTTTAAAGAAGCAAAGTTAGAATGAGACGATAAAGTTAGAATAAGAAGGTATTGTACCCTGGTTGGTGCCTTTATTGTAAAAGCCAGGGTTGTCCAACCTTGGCAACTTTTGAAGACTTGTGGACTTCCAACTCCCAGAATTCCCCAGCCAGCAAAGAATTCTGGGAGTTGAAGTCCATAAGTCTTTAATATTGCCAAGGTTGGACACCCCTGTTGGAAGCAGTGAAGGCTCCAACATACTGTACCTTTATAGGTTCATCACCATACCAACTTGGTTGCGTAAAAATGACAAAGGGAATGAAAAATTCAAGATTTATCGTCTTTTTATTGAGAGGTTTTAACTTTTGACTTGCATCTGAATGAAACATCTGGTTATAAAAGGCCATCAGGGCTTCTCCAAGAACAGGCAGTCGATAGAATATATGGTCTTAAATGCATCCACTCCCACAAAGTCAAGATCTTGCAAAAATACCAGCATTATTAACCGATATTCAGAGTTCTATCCAACTCTAGCAACAATTGACCTAAGCTGCAAAGGGCTACTTTCCTTTAATATGAGAAAGGCAGCGCATTGGAATCTTACATCCTTTGTACAACATCGCTAAGAAGCAACTCCATGAGAGTGTGTGGGATGGCCTGAATAGCTTAAATTTCATTTCTACAATCAGTTTGCAAACCGACGCTAAATGAAACCGCTTTTGATGGACGAGTCTTTGGCTATCAGTATTTTAGGTTTGCTTCAAAATTGTAGATAATAGACGCACGTAAACAGCCTGCATAAATAGATAACATCACAATCCTCTGGTTTAAACATACCAGGGAAGAAAAACTGTTTATCTAATAATAATAATATTCTAACACAGGACATTAACAGTTTGGCAAGGTTAGCCGAAAGGAACGAACTGTATTTGGGGGGGGCGGGAGGGAGAGAAAAACCTCCTTGGATGTTTAAGGCTTATGTAGTAGGAGAAATCAACTGAAATCTGCCCAATTCCTCCATTGAAAGTCTTTTATTTGGCTGCCTTTGTGGTGGCGCTGTCCTAACCCTGTATTAACCTACCTGAGAGGAAGCACTATTGAAATAAAACTTGCATAGGGCATCCAGCTGTTTTCTGGTCTCTTGTGCAACCAAGCACTGGACACAACGAGACATAAATTGCTCTGATCGTTCACCAGTCCCCACATTGTACTGAGAATTGTCTCAAGAAACCAACTTCTTCGGGAGTCCAAGCGAAGTGAGATTTTTCACAGCAATCTTTTTGTGACTTCAAGATGCATCAGTGCACAGAAAGTACATCAAATGGGATCTTCTATTTTGGAAAACATCATTTCTTCCATTTTTTCCCCTTTCCAGACGACGCATAGCTAGCTGCAATAACTATGCCTAGCTGCTTAATGTGTAGAAAGTAGATTTTGAGTGCTGAGTTCTTTTTTTTCCTCTTCCTTAACTAGTTGCACTATCTATTGTCTTGTTCAATTTTAAATACACCTTCCTTAAGGTTAGCATTGGGACAGTACAGGAGAGTCTCCTTTATGTGAAAACAATCTTACCCTCCTTGAGTCATCATAATTTATAAAACGGAGCAAAAATCCTGGTGGTTCCCAAAAATGTTTATTATACTTAGTAGCCATCGGACGAAAAAACCCACTGATTTCTGAATTGAAAATCTGGAAAAGTAGCTTGCATTTTCAAGTTAGAGGAGCAGGCACTCTCTCACACACAGGCACACAATACACAATCACACCCACACATACAGTGCACCTTTTCATATCCATCCCAATTCTTGCACAGGAATGCACTGTTAAAATAAAATTAAAAAAAGTAAAATAAAATAACTGTTCATATTTTCTGGCCCGTTACTCAACGGTCCACCAGAAAGAAAATGGATGTGCAGCAAAACAGAGCAACCTTCCAGTGCTCTACAAATATTTGCATTTATGCCACACGTGCATCGAACAACTTTTGAACTTCAGTGGAAAAAAGTACAACGTTGGAAAGGATTAAGGCTTCAGGAGTCTTCGGGCCGGAAATAGGCTGGCAGGGAAAAACACAGGCTTGTTGCAGTGTGGGTGCAGACGCAACCCTGACCCGTAGGACTGGCTAGTCTTCGGCTCCGTCCTCTGTGCAAATGAAATAAATGTCTACGGGAGCCCTTGGGAATAGATCCACATAGTTCAGGGTGGAGGAGATGAGTTAAAGATAGGTGGAAGAGAAGCCTCTCAGCTGGCTGGTGAGGACAGCGTCATGAACGCTCGGGAAGAACAAATCTCGCATGGATGCTTTCTCAAAAAAATGCAGTCTAGAGAGGCTGTCCATAACAGAGCCTGGTGAGAATAAAATAATATATATTATATATATATAAAAGCGAAGTAACAGGTGCTCATGCATCATCAGAAAATCTCCAGAACCGTAAAACCTACAAACTTGAAATTTGGCATGTATGTTCCTCTTGCCTTCTAGGTGCTCACTAAGAAAGGATTTTTTCAAAATGACCATCAGAGCTATTAGTATTTCCTATGTTATTATTATTAACATGTTCTGATGCTAAGGAGTTCTACTCCCCTTCCCCATCTGAATAGAAATCTCTTCCAAATGCAAAACACAAGCAAAGGAGGAGTTTCAGTTTCAGTTTGAGAGCACCAAGCAGCTTTAGTACAGAACAGTTGAGCTAAGTCACGCCCAGGCTCCTTGCTGTCTCCTTCTTGCTCACACAGCAAATACTGCTTCAGTTTCCAAACAGCCCTCAAGTCTCACACACACTGACAGGATGCTAGCCAGATGAATACCGATGGATGCTGGTAGGCAGAGGCAGATTCTCCCCCCCCCCCTATTTTCCTCCCTAAAAACTAAGCCTGACCACATAGTTCCATAGCGAAGGACAAGCTAGTGTGTGTGTGTGTGTGTGTGTGTGTGTGTATGGCCATGGGGATGCTGCAATGGTCCTAAGTGTGAAAAATGGCCATAAGTCACTTTTTTCAGTGCCATTGTAACTTTGAATGGTCACTACATGAATTGTTGTAAGTCCTTGGTAGTCCTTGGTGATTGTTCGAACTTACAGCACTGAAAAAAGCGACTTATGAACATTTTTCACACTTACGACCGTTGCAACAACATGGGTCACATAAGTTCATAGACTTGGCCACTGGTTCAAATTTACGACTGTCGTGGTGTCCCCGGGCGTCCCCTTTTGCGACCTTCTGACAAAGAAAGGCAATGGGGAAGCCAGATTCACTTAACAACCGGGTTTCTAACTTACAGTAACTGCAATGATTTGCTTAATAACTGTGGCACGAAAGGTCGTAAAATGGGGCAAAAGTCACTTAACGAATGTCTCGTGTAGCAATGGAAATTTTGGCTTCAATTTTGCTGCCCAGCCTCCACAAATGAAACTACATAAAAGAAGAACTGTTTAGTAAAAACAGGAAAAGGTTAAGGGAAACAATGGTGCAACAGGAATTAATAATGATTTGAAATTATACCGTTTTACTTCATAAATTTTATTAAGTTTAAGAGTTTTAAGTTTTATTAAGTTATAAAAGGGGGCACTGAGCTTGTCGGGTGGAAAGCGGACATCCTGGGTTCAAGACCCAAGTGACACATGACAGGGGCAAGCTCCTGTCCTCACCTCAGCGTCTGCCCACCTAACAGTTCGAAAGCGCACAAATGCGTGTAGATAAATAGGTATCACTTGGGTGGGAAGGTAACAGTGTTCTGTGCGCCTCTGGCGTATAGCCATGCTGGCCACAGGACCATGGAGACGTCTTCCGACAATGCTGGATTATTCAGCTACGAAACAGAGATGAGTACTGCCCCCTAAAGCTGGACATAAATGGATGGAGAAAACTTTACTTCACCCTATTTTATATATTTTATTAAGTTTTTTATAACATAAAGTCCAAAAGAGACAAAAGAAAACTAAGAGAATCAGTGATTCCATTACTTTTCTAACTTTTGGTTCTTCTGCATTCTATTTTATAATCTATTAAATCTTATAGTGTGATTTTAAATTTACACACTCACACACACAGTTTTATTTTAAAAGTAGCCTCACATCATGATGGGCAGCAAACAAATTTAATAAAATAAATAATCAAACTTTATAACATTTATGAAGTAAAGTATCTTGGCTTCCTAACTTTTGTTTCTTCTGTATTTTATCTTATAATGAAACTTAATAAAATTTATGAGGTAAAACCGTTTGTCATTTCAAATCGTGGTTAATTCCTGTTGCACCATTGTTTCCCTAACCTTTTCCTTCATTACCCAAAGTCACTTATCAGGAAATCCTTTTTTACCACTCATCAGAA